TATTTATGCACTCAAATATATTCTCGAACATAAAGGAGATTCTGTATCAGTAGATATGTTAGATACTGCTTTGAAGAGCCTATGTTCTCAAGAGTTTGATAATGTGTTTTCAAGAGAATCAACTATTAAGTTGGAATGGCGGTTAAGAATTATTATTATTATACTAGAACAAATGTGTCAGAGTGAATGTCAATTTACATGCCAGTTTCTTGATGATATTAGACAAGCCACATCTATGTACAAGAATGCACATTCAAAGATTATGCAACATGAAGGAGAAACTTGGAAACCTAGTTATTCAGAATTTAATAAGTCAGACAAAACTACCAAAAGCTTTAAATGCATTACAATGGTAAATACCTCCTCAAACTCATCAAGAATACATTAAACACTGTTTGTGGTGACAAAAACTGGTATCAGACAAATGTTAATCGGGCCATTGCAGCCTTAAAAGGTTTACTTGTTGCTCTTCCTGGTTTAGCTAAAGTTGGTGTTAAATTAATCACAGGAGTTGAAATCCCCCTTGGTGACTTTGACTTGGAGAAATCATGGAAATATCTAGCAGAAGCATTTTGTGTTGAACCATCAGGCAAACCATGGTACACAACTTGGAGAAGACTTATTATGTTACAGAATAGTCTTGATAAATGGTGTGAACAAGAGTCTGTCATTTCAACAAATTTCAAAAAGAGAGTGCTTCTTGAGTATCTCTGGTATCATATCAGTTTATGCTATGCTGAAAATGCAGCAGAAGATCAGGGTGTTAGTGATGAACTCTGGTTTGGCATCTTGGATATTATCCAGCAACTTGTCCAGAAAACATTTTCTACAACTACACAAGCAATTTGTTATTATATAGCACTAGACTCATTAAATAATGCAACCACTGAATTTATTCAATTCAAATCAATTGAAGTGTTATTGAGTCTTGAGGTCAAAAATAATAAATTGTTTGTTACAACACCTGATGATATTGCTGGTTGTGATGAGAAATATATACCAAGATTGATTGACATGTATTATTACCTGAAAAAGAAATTAGAACTTGAATCAAAAGTGGGTTTAAAGCACTCACTAATGGTAGGTGCTCAAAATAGGAAACAACAAGACAAAGGAAAAGGGAAAGAAAAAGGCATTGAGAAAAATCCAATTGACTATATTGCAGAAGATCTAACATGTCCTATTGTTTGTGAAGCAGTTGGTGACTTTTATCAGCTTAACTGTCAACATATTATTAGCTCAAAGGCTCTTTTATCATTAAACAACTTAGAATGCCCTTATTGCAGAAGTGAAATTCAAAAGGATAAAGTGTATTATATGCCACAACAAACAATATACAACAATATTTAACATTATATTACAGACACTGATCATCAAGACATTTATAATGCTAATGTTGGAAACAATACAGATGCAAAAATATTTGATAATTGTGACCTTAAAAAACAAAAAGGAAGAACAAGAAAGTATGGTTCTGAATCTACATGGAGTTCAATCTGGAAATCATTGACAGCACCAAATATAGACAAATTATTTCAAAAAGCTAAAAGTGCATATAATAATAATAAGTTGGAAAAGGCTTTGACCATCTATACACAAATATTACAAGTTGATACCACAGATTATATGGCACTGTGTAATAGAGCAAAAATCAAGTTAGATATGAAAAATTTCAGCAAAGCTCTGTTTGATATTGAGACAGCAAGTGGAGTAAACACAGTTTGTGATGATGCTTGGTATTTAAGTTTAGTGGCACATATAGGTTTGGAGAACAAAAAAGAGGCTGAACAAGATATTGGGCATATTAAAGGTATACATACGCGGCAAAAGGCATTCAATGTTATTGATAAATTTGTAAACAAACTTGAGCACTTTGATGTGGAATGGTTTAAACTCCTTGTGGATAGTCGCCCTGTTAAAGCAATGCATGAGTTAAATAATATCAATCAATGGCAATCACTGTGTAACCATCAGTATGGAACAGATGATTACACCAGCTGGTACAATGCTGCTGTAACCTGGTATAACAAGTGTAATAATACTGATAATTACATGCATATAAAGGCGTTCTATGAAAAAGTATACTATATGCACAAAAGTAAGGGGTTACACTTGATTGCATAAATTTATATATTATTATGCATGCTAAATTACTTTATGTTTATTATTATTATAGGTCATCTGAAAGCACGTTTTGCATTTGAAAGTCACATTGAAGATAGGAGTAGATGCAGGGAGTAAGTAATTTATATTAATACATATTGCTATAAAAATATTGTTACTAATGTTTATTATTTAATAGTGACACATATAGTTTGTACGTTACTGGATCCAATAAAGTAAGTGGTTAATTATCAATACAATATAAATAGTCTAACGCTTTGTACAATGTTATGAATATTAATTAATAAACGATTGTGTATTAGTTCACAATACCCATATTCCAAGTACCTCCAAATAAATACAAACTCAGCATTTTGTTGTCCAATTATCAGGAGTCAACAATTACAATTGCAGTAAGTATCGAAATATGCATTGTTTAATCTTAATTGTATAATGAGTACAAACGTTTGGTTTTGTAGACAACAATAAAAACATCAACTGAAGAAATACAATATGAGACGGACATTAAAGTTAGGGGGTATGACTATGCTGAATACATTTTACCATGCACGGTTAACGTTTTGTCTGAAGATGACATTATTATAGACTTTGTTATCAGTGGCATCAGTGATTATGTAAGTACGGTTTATTTATTCATTGACATAGTGTGCATATGTGTTCAATTATTCTAACTTTAACTCTATTATAAGTCATTCATATATCTTTATTGGATTTGTTTATATTCGGAAGAAAAGTTAGATATTATGGAACGTGATTTGAAAATTGAAACATTTCCAACTGGCGTAAAAATGATTAATTATAGGCAATATCGTTATCCTGATAGAACGTATGCTATATATTAACGCACACGAACATTGTTGATAAGCGAGCGTGTTTTATTATGCGTTGTATCACGACGCGTACGTGACATTATGAAAATATATCATAACATGTTTCTTTCCCAAATTTGTATCCCGCAACCAAATCACATCGCTAACTTATTAGTGACTCAAAAACCATCCACTGTAACATCGTTTCAACATAATAATGTGGTGGTCCCGAATTTTGACTTTGCGGAAGAAGTACATAATGAAGACTCGCTGTATTCACGATTGGCATTCATAACACATTTTCTATTACTATTTATTGCTTTACTATTACTTTTGTTTTTCTTTAACTATTTGTCTTTGTTATTTTTCTTTAATAAAAAATAAATCAATATCTCCTTACCACCTGTAAAGTATAAAAATTGGATTCTTTAACGTATATCACTTGACCTAAAGCATCGCTCACTAATTGCTTCGATACATAAGTCTAATATCCAAACTTCAGTCCATCCCATTAACATAACCATATTAATATGTTTCGCGTTGTTACTCGAACCTGATGCAAATGTTTTAAAACCTATATTCTACTTGCGTTTCCCCCAAGTCACGGACCAATATTTTAAGTATCAATTGTCTATTGGATTAGTGGGATATAACAACTAGCCAATGCTATATCAACTCACTAGACATTCGATCAACGCTCTGTATACGACACATATCAGCGTATATAAGAGTACTTTCCCTACACGTGACTTCTTTCTATTATATCCTACTAACTCCTAAATATCATTAGCCATGCATATACGGAAAATTTTCCCTCCCACACTTACTTGCTAATAGTTTAAAGGGAATAACCACGGCGATATCTAAAAGAGGAACTTTTACAACTTAATTAAATATTGCTATAACATTGAACATTACGATACCTACATTTTATACTGATAACACATACCATCACGCCAAATTCCAAAAACTGACTTGCAAAGTATCCCCCATGATTAAAATCCTAACACTGATACTTACACCCCAATTAATTTAGCATAATTTAAAGTTCCCAACCCTTATTATTTGTCTCGTGCCTCAATTGTATCTGCTTTGTGCAATGTAGATCTTTCCTTTTCCTTATTAACTTTACATTTAGAAACAAGCTTTTAATAGTTTATGTCTATTACCTATTGCCTATTGCCTATTGTTTATCACTTGCTTATGCTTAGACTTACGTGTAAGCTTACGGTCAAAGATTATTTATTATTATATGGCATTTGCTATATTCCTGCAGTATTGCTTTTTCCACATGCAACTTAAAAATCACCCAAATAGTGAATCTCGCTTATGTCTATTAAAATTTTGTTGTCTAAAGTCATTCGTTTAATAATACTTTTGCAGGTTTATTACTACTCTAGTTTATTATATAAAATTGATTGTATTGGAAGACGGGCCGAATTCGGTGCTAACGTTCCGGTTAATACCATAGCGTATGCCTTACAGATTTCGGGCAGAATGTTCAGCCTTCAGTCGGATGGGCGTAGATTTGAGGTCGTGTATTAATTGACCCGATCTTCCGCATCTAGGACAGGCGTATTTTTTTGCGGTACCGCTGCCGTACAGCAGGTATTAGGCCCAAAGGGGCAACTCTAAAGAGTTTTAGAGCGTAAGTTGCAGAAGCGGAAGTAGCGAAAGTATCTTTGGTAGTTTTGGGAAATGGTATCGAAATTGATGATTTCAAGGCATGACAAACGACTACCGAACTACTGAAAATCAGGGGGTAAACTATATGTATTTCTGGAAAATATTTTTATAAATATTTTGGTAGTTCTGGTAGTATAGGTATTTATGGTTATTTTAATATATATTTCTTACTACTTTTGTTTGGTAGCTTTGTAGTAATAAATAGAAAGGATTATAGGAAATGATTTATAGATAGCAACATAGCCGAAGGCTATACCCGTGGCGCGATAGAGAGCCAACAACACTCGTATCCGATCCGCTTCTTCTTTGAGTTCGGTCAACTATTAATAGCATCCGCAAAACTCGGCCCAGTTCCAGTTACTTCGAGCTTAGGTTCCGACCTCAACGTGTCCTTCTTGTAGTTGTTTTCTTGCTTGAATCAGGCTTGGCTTCAGTTTCAGGTTTAGGAAGTGTTTTTTGATATTTTGTGAGAGTCGTGTGCCAATCATTAAGCTCTTCTGCACTTCGGAACATGAGTTTATATGTTCGACTAATGGTTACGATATTTATATGATGGGACCTGTCGTTTTCGCTTTTCTTTATTTCGCTACTTGCTGTGATTTCGATTGTCTTGGAATTTGTGGCATCCTTTTTAGATTTATAATACAATATCTTGCCTTCTTGAGTGAAAACGAAGAACCTGGACTCTGTTTTCTTTAAGATTTGCGATGATTTGTCGAATGCGCCCGTTATGAGAGCTTTATCAACTTGTTCTTTAATCGTTGGATCGTATTCTTCATATACGTCATTAGGTTTGATGTTCAATGCTTTATTGTAATCATCAATAGCATTATAAAAGTGTTGCCCTGTTCTTGGTTGCCCTGTTCTTGGTGGTAACATGTGAGTATTTGGTTTATAGTCTTTGTCGGTATGATAATTTAGTATGTCACGACGTAGCTTCTTTGGTAATAAATCCTCATACAGAATAACCTTTTTAGGGGAGATATTAAAAAATCTTATGTGGGGAATACAGTCTGCAATGATATCTTTAATTGTGTTAATGTCATTAGATGACCAATCATCAGGATCAGTTCCAAGGCCTAGTTTGGGCACTTGTTTAGTGGCCCATTGTATGACTGATATCCAAATATCATCTTCACCCATGTTTAGCTCATCGTTCTTGAGAAGAACAATCAAAGTCTCCTTTGGTAATGTTGCAAGATCATTTAATTTAAAGATAATTTCTGGATGGGAAGCCATAATTCGATTACAGTAGGCCAGAAGTTTGTTCAAAGAGGCTGTGGATACAGCAAAATTGTGAACTGTGATAATATTCCGTTGAATCCATTCATATTGTTTATCAATCAAGTAAGTTTCAATTGCAGTGAAAAGATCAACTAGTTCAAACTTGCTAGCTCCATCCAAAAGGCTGAGCCAACCTATGTTCTTGCATGAATCATAGGATATTTGGCCAGTGTATATATACCTGTGATTAATTGTCGAGTATGCAAATGAGCATCAAATATCAACACAACTTATACACATGACTTTGACTGTTTCATGAATTCTACCTGAGCAATATTTCGAAAACATCAGGAGACACATCTTCAAAGGTTATGGTTGCCTTTTGAATCGTATCGGGCGCCTCCGTATTCCCGGTTAAATTATTCTCAATGAATTGGCTTCTTGTACATAATACTACCGTATGGGCGAAAAATTTTTTGCTATTTGGCTCCTTTCCAACATGGATTGAAATATCCGTATATCTGCCGCTTTCATATAGTTTTTCATAATCAGCTGAAAGATTCGAGGACAAATCAATAAAGTTATTCATTGTTTACAGAGTTTGAAAGATGTTCGGGGGTCGGATAGATAGTGCTGTGCTAATACTAAGCAGTCAAGAATGTGTAACCGTGTAATGTGGTCATCTGATCGGATACAAACAGCAAACTTCATTACATTGCGATGATTCATACTTTACTCTGATGCGGTTTCCCCTGCCATATTGGTGTTCAATGATTGATAGCTATAAACAGTTTGTTATTTTGGTTAGTAGATAGGCCAGTAGAGATGTTCGAATAATTATGTCTTACTAATTAGTTATCCACCAATACAACCATTTCAGGGAGTGTTGCATGGAGTACGACGAATTGATATAAATTTATATTCAAACGAGCATATCTATGATGGCTTTTATTTAACGTACTGTATATAAATAAAGGTAGTTATGTTATGATAAAGGACCGAGTATATTAAAATCGAGAGAATTCCCATTCTATGGTCTTGTAGCATCCTAAAAGGTTTGTAATCTTGATTGCTACAAGTTTGTAATTATTTAGACCTGACCTTAACTTTAACCATGTACATGTCGTATGTAAATTCCGTCACTCTGCAAATTGACCGGTCCTGGAGATTGACTGCACTAAAAAAAATGGTAAAATAAATTTAACATTGTAGCAAGTTCATTTGTCGTAACAATATCGTATATATAATTTTATCTACGGGAACTGTGGTATTAAATGTAACTGAATATCGATAAACAGAGTGCTTAATAAAGATTTTTGAGCAGGCAATTTCTGGGCCAGGCCTTACAACAAACCTCCACGTCTTTATATAAGAGTATACCCCTTTAAACTTGTTTTAATATCGATGCGGAATAATATTTATTTAAATATTTAATATTAACATTTAAGTATCTGGAAGTAATAAAGTAATGCGAACAACGGGCCACATTTATATCTAAGTAAATATTCGATTAAATTTTACATGCAATGTAATTTGATAATTGAGTAATATACCTTATCGATGAAATGCGCAAATATCAATGTCATTATATTATACCATTGCACTATATTAATTCACGCTAATGTTTTTAGCTCGTATACAAACAGCTAATTTTTATCACATGATGGACTTTTCCTGTACACAAGCATCATTCTCTAATGATTTGTGTCCAGTGCATTGTCATATTTACTAAGCATACGATAAACTTCCCCTCTGCACGCCAGCGCCCAAGCATTATTTGGTTCAAGCTCCAATGATTTGTTAAAATCGATCAACGCATCGTCGTATTGATTGAGCCAGTAATGGACGTACCCTCTTATCTTTAATGAAAATCCATCTTGTGGTTCAAGCGCCAAGGATATATTGAAATCATGCAGTGCCTTGTCGTACTTTGCAAGCATTCGATAAACATCTCCCCTTTTCTTCCATGCAAATGCGTCATTTGGTTCAATCTCCAATGATCTGTTGAGACAATTCAATGCACTGTCGTAGTCATGACACATGAAATAAACTTCTCCTCTTCTACTCCATGTGAATGCGTCATCAGGTACGATTTCGAACGATCTATTGAAATCATTAATAGCATTATCAAACTGTTTTAGTGCGCAATAAACTTCTCCCCTTCTACTCCATGCAAATGCATTATTAGGGTCGATCTCCAACGATCTATTGAGATCGTTAATAGCATTAGTAAACTGTTTCAGTGCACAATAAACTTCTCCCCTCCTACTTAATGTCCATGCGTCATCAGGTTCAATGGACAATGATTGACTGAAATCTACTAGAGCAGCACTATTCTGCTTATTATTAAAATAGACGGCTCCTCTTGTTTTTAATACCCATGCATTCTTAGGTTTGGCTTTCAACGATTTCGTAAGATCAACTAATGCATCTTCATGACGTCCAAGCCAGTAATAGAGATGTCCTCTTTTGTTCAAAGCCCATATTTGGTTTGGTTTAATCGTCAATGAACTATTGAAATCCCTCAATGCTTCATCATATCTATCAAGACTATAATAAACATCACCCCTTCGGCTCAATGTCCAAGCATGATCAGGTTCAATCTCCAGTGATTTGTCGAAATCTTCTAGTGCACTATCATAACTATGGAGCGAACGATGAACTTCTCCCCGTTGTCTCAACGTCCAAGCATCATTCGGTTCAATATTCAATGATTTGTTGAAATCATTTAATGCATCGTCATACTGTTTCAGCTTGCAATAAATAATTCCTCTTGCTTTAAAAATGGAAGCATTGTTTGGTTCAATCTCTATCACTTTTTTGAAATCGCTTAATGCCCTGTCATAGTTCTTAAGCGTACTGTAAGCATGTCCCTTTCTGCTTAATATCCATGCTTTAATTCGACGATGTTTAAAAGCGCTTTTAGACACATCTTCAGCATAATGCCACTTATCCTTCTCATTTAATATCTTACTGATGGTTGTCTGGTCAATGTTGAAATTATACGTAGTGTTGAAATGAGCCGCAATCTCGACATGAGTACATAACATGTTATCATTATGAAAGACACAGATTTCACGTTTAAGTGAGTCGCTGATAAGCGCTCGCTTTTCTGGTTTCTTGGACATTTTTGCTCTGTCATAGTAGCAAACGAACTCATTATCAAACCCTGATCAAACACTTTTCTCATATATGTTACTAAAAGGGAAATTTTATAATAACTGTTATGATATCCGCCCGATTGGACAGCGGGACAATATGTGTGACAAAAGTGCGTACACGTACGTTTAGTATACGCAATCTCGTTACAAAAATGGGCAAACTATGCCTCGTCTTCATAAAGGTGACTTTAACAATACGATAATGTTAATACGTTCACCTCTATCGTGACTGTTAAACGCTCCAGTACCTTTCATCATCTCATGTCACATATTAGTCCGTTCGGGTAAGATTAGCTATACAAGTTAGTTTACGTCTAGTAATTCTATGCGCTAATTTGCTGCGTAATGCACAATTGCTTCAATTGTGGGTGTGGTTTCGCAGATTTTATTAAATGATTAAGTGATTTGGGTTAAGTAATGTAAAATCCGGTGACGTGTACGGGAGGTCGCAAAGCAATATCTATACTATACCTTATAGAAATGTTCCTTATCGTAATAATCTCACAAACCATGCACATGAATATATATTCCTCGATTAAAGCACAGACTATAGATCATTCGGTGTTTCAAATATTGTCAAGTTAACAATCGTAGGGAGCAATCGATTGTTAACCTCGTCTTGAGGCTCCTCCTACTTTAGCTAAATATAGTAACCTTTAAACTAGGCTTTTACTACTCACGATAGCGTCGATGCGTAAACACAAATTCTAGACGGTTATTCACCTTCGAGTTGATTTTCTATTCCCTTCTGATGGGATTAATTCTGAAGCTTATACTATACTCAAACGAATGTCCTCATCGTAAGCGATAATAACAATCATAATGCCACGATAATATCCACAGGACAGGACAAGATGCGAATAATATAGCGGTTTTACAACTATACCAACAATTTACCAGGGAACGAAACATTAATAATGTGTTTTAGAGTATAGAAAACCACTCGTTTGAACACATCTATTTTTAGTAACGTTTGTCTACTGTAATACTTCCACTAAATTTGTGTAATGTTATTGATCGACAGTGACAATAGTATGTGGTGGCACTCCGAGTGACTCACATGCCGATTATTTACCGTACCGTAAAACTCCGACATGTACAGTACCCTCACCGATAAAGGAGCACAAAACTCCATGAGATGTAGATGTACCCTCACCAAGTTTCAGAGATTTGTACTCGGGTACTAATATAATAACAATATTTTTGGCCCTTTGATTTATAGCCCATTCTGTATTTTCTGTTAGTATTGATTTGAAAGTGCACAGCTTAGTATAACGTTATGATAATGATGCAATTTATCTTTACAATCCAATCAATACATACATATGTTAAGTCAGCTACAATATGTCAATATTATTTCGCGTCGTATCACCCTTTTTTTTCCCAATCAGCAGTTGTGTGATTGGCAGATGTACCCTGATTAATATGGTATACCCCCTACAGCAGAGCTATGCCCTACAAGATACATGTTGGAGTTTTACGGTACTTTTGAGGGAAAACAGAGTTCGAGCGGTAATCGCTCGAGTAGTATATTATTTAATGCTTTTTGGTTTGCTTTTTTATCGCCTGTTCTTTTTTAAATACTTTGGCAGTTAATCGATTTATTTTTTGCTGAACTGTTTTAATTTTTTTGTCATACTGAGCAGTTAAGAGTATATTAAAAAGATGTTAATATAGCGATATATGATGTATAAAACCGGTGCTAAAAAATTGTTATACAAATTTTCTAAAACGGATATTTAAGCGATTAGTTTTGTAGAAGTATAATATCTGCAAATACTAACTCGAAGAAGTGAGTCGATTAATCCGAAGGAATAAGTATTGAACAGCAGCTCATCACGAGTTACGCTCAAAATGATTTTAGTGATAAACAGAAATAAACTTTTATAAACTATACTGTCAAATAAAAATTGTCTAAGTTAGCAAAATTATAAAACTACCAGTTTCAAGAAGCCTAGAAGATTTGGATGTAGGAATGAAAATTTATTTCAGTAAATACGATACAACCAACAAATTGGGTTTCAAATTTAACAATTTATTTAGTATCTTTTCGACTTTAATAATGTATTAATTATTACATTAGCGCAATTTTGACAAGCATATAATAATTGCTATAATTAAGTTTATTTTGCCACGCGCTGTATCGTAACTTAAATTGTTTTATGAAAGCCATTGGCTTTTATTTTAACATTTTATAAACTCTATGATGAAAAGAACGCTAATGAAATAATATTTGACAATAAAATTTGGTCTCTTTCCTTTTGATCTTCGTTTGTGACACTTTTTGGTCTAAATTTAAATCGACTTGATTAAATGTTCAATTCAATTGATGCCAGATTATACCATGTAAATTGCTTATCCGATAATTTGCCAGCCATTATCAATATTTTGATTATTGAATCAAAAATGTTTATGGTAACTACCATATGTGATATTTGTTACGTGTTATGTTTCACAGTTTACAGTTGAGGATTCTACTCTTTTTTTTTTACATCGTTCGATGATACAAAAAATATGGCTGTGAATTGCACAATTATTTTGTTTGTACTTATAATACTCGACGTAAAAACGTGGGGTTCAAAAAGTTTTGATACAGGG